ATTTCTCATCTTATTACACTAAATTAAGTAAGATATGGGATGAGTTAAGAATCGTTCAAGGTGTGCCCGCATGTTCTTGTGCCTCTGCCACTGCAATCAACAAATTCCTCGAAGAACAACGTTTAATTCAGTTGTTAATGGGTCTCAATGATTCATATAAAGTCATTCGTGGTCAGATATTGATGATGAAACCGCTACCTTCAATATCCACTACTTATTCCATGATCATTCAAGAAGAACGTCAAAGAGGCATAACTGCTTCTTCTCCCTTACAATCCGATGCCATTGCAATGCTTGCTTCTGGTGACTCATCAAAGAAGCTATTGACCTGCACACACTGCAAAAAGACGGGACATACAAAATCTCAGTGCTATCGGTTGAACGGTTTTCCCCCAAATTTCAAATTCACCAAAAATAATCGCAATGACACTAAACCTTCTGCTCAACATGTTGAAACCGTCTCTGCACCTACCATCACCACTGATCAATATGATCATCTTCTCCAGGTTCTCAATGCAAATAACATAAGTCCATCAACTATGCCAAATCAAGTCAATGTTTCAATCACTGATGGTGCAATGGCACATGAAGGTAAACCTTTTTCTTTCGCCAAGTTTGCTTCAAATGTCTATAAATCCAAAGAGTTTTTAGAACTTCACTACTCTTGGATCATAGACAGTGGAGCAACAGATCACATGTGTTCCAACAGTTCCTTATTTCTTTTCATGAATAAACTTTCTCAGCCTATTTCAATTGGTCTTCCTGATGGTCATACCGCTTCTGTTACTTATATTGGTGACATTCAAATCCACAGTAATCTCATTCTTCATAGAGTCTTTTATTTGCCCTCCTTCAAATACAATTTAATGTCAATTACCAAGTTCACTTCACAGCTTCAAACTTTTGTTATCTTTACTGATACAAAATGTTTTGTGCAGGACCCTTCTTCTAAGGGTAGCATATCTCTTGGCTTTTTGGGAGATAGAGTCAATGATCTTTATGTGTTTGACCACAGAAGACTTCAGAAGACTTTTTCTTTTTGTAATTCTGTTTCCAAGTTGTTTCCTGTTTTCAATAATGTTGTCAAACAATCTTGTTTCAATTCTATACTTTGGCACAAACATTTTGGCCATATTCCAATCAAGAAGTTACATTCCCTTTCATTAATTCCTTCTTCTACTTCTGTTGATTCAATTGATATGTGTGATATTTGTTCCAAGGCCAAACAACATAAGTTACCTTTTCCTAAAAGTATCTCTGTCACTTCTAATCCATTTGATCTAATTCACATAGATATTTGGGGTCCCTACAAACATTCTACATGTGATGGCCACAAATATTTCTTAACCATTGTGGATGATCACACCAGATACACATGGGTTCATTTGTTAAAACACAAAAGCTATGCTTTTGTTCTGATTAAGGCTTTTATTGCTCTCATCCAAACTCAATTCTCCAAAACTGTCAAATGCATTAGAAGTGATAATGCCTATGAACTGGGATCAAGTAATGAGGGTCAGGAGTTTTTTAAAAATCAAGGCATCATACATCAAACTTTTATTGCTCATTTACCTCAACAAAATGGATTAGTAGAGAGGAAACACAGACAAATTCTGGAGATATCTCGTGCACTTTTCTTTCAATCTGGGTTGGGTATTGCATACTGGGGTGAGTGTATCATGACATCCATTCATCTTATGAATAGAATGCCATCAAAAATCATCAATCAAAAAACACCATTTGAAATTCTGTTCAATCATAAACCACATCTTGAATATCTCATAAATTTTGGGTGCCTATGTCATGTCTCTACCTCTTCTGTAGGCAGAGATAAATTTATGCCAAGATCAACTTCTTGTGTTTTCATAGGATATCCAATAGGCAAAAAGGGATATAAGTGCCTAGATATTCAGACCAAAGAAATTCTTATATCAAGGGATGTTAAGTTCTTTGAGAACATTTACCCTTTGAAGTCCTTTAGCCAGCAGGATTCCTCCAATTCACCATCATTTCTTCCTATCAATTCCACCGAATATGAGCCTGTCACCTCTCCTTCATCCAATAATCAATCTGATCCTCCTCTCAGGAGAACCACTAGACCCTCACATCCTCCAACATACTTAAATGATTTTGTATGTAATCATGTAAATTCCAACCTATGTCCTCATACTGTAACCAATTTCAGTTTTGATGAGTCATCACATCTATCCTCCATTTATCCTCCTACCAGTCATGTTTTTCACACTATCACCCATCCTGTCGAGCTTGCATTTTATAATCAGGCTCAAGGTCAACCAGAATGGGAGGCTGCAATGAAAACTGAACTCCAAGCTCTTGATCTCAATCATACATGGGATATTGTCAAATTACCAAAAGGGAAGAAGCCTATCTCTTGTAAATGGGTCTACAAAATTAAACAGAAAGCTGATGGCAGTATTGAAAGGTACAAAGCCCGTTTAGTTGCAAAAGGGATTCACACAAAAACATGGGATTGACTTCCATGAAACATTCTCTCCAGTTGTCAAGTTCACTACTATCAGATCCATCGTTGCTTTGGCACTCAAAAAGGGCTGGAATATATATCAATTTGATGTAAACAATGCTTTTCTACATGGAGAGCTACATGAAGATGTTTATATGAAGGTCCCACCTGGATTGACAGTTTCTTGGCCTTCTCTTGTTTGCAAACTCAAAAACTCCTTATATGGACTTAAACAAGCAAGTCGCCAATGGTATGCTAGGTTATCAGTTGCTTTAAGAACCAAAGGCTTCATTCCATCCAAAAATGACTACTCATTATTTCTCAGAAAAAATGGGGACAAAACTGTAATTGTGGCCGTGTATGTGGATGATATTCTTGTCATAGGAGATGATGTGTCTCAAATTCTTTCTCTCAAAACATTTTTAGATGAAGAATTCAAGATAAAAGACCTTGGCCAACTCAGTTTCTTCTTAGGTCTAGAGTTTCAAAAGACTGACAAAGGTATGATTATTCATCAACACAAATACATCAAAGAGTTACTGGATCTGTATTCAATTAACAGTTCAAAAACAGTCTCCATGCCACTACCACAGAAACCACAACTCCTATCTAACATGCCTGATCCTCTACCGGATGCTTCCATTTATAGACAACTCATTGGTAAACAAAATTTTCTTTTACACACAAGACCTGATTTGTCTTTTTCAGTTCAACACTTGAGCCAATTCAACCAAAATCCTTGTCAATCTCACTATGATGCTGCTATTCATGTTTTACAATACCTGCATGACACTTCAACTCAAGGATTATTTTTTAACTCAAATTCATCTTTCAAAGTAGAGGCCTACTGTGACTCTGATTGGGCTGCTTGCCCAATCACAAGAAAATCTGCCAGTGGTTTTTTTTATCATGTTTGGTGATTGTCCAATCTCTTGGAAGTCCAAAAAGCAAAACACTGTTTCATTGTCTTCATCGGAAGCAGAGTATCGATCTATGCGAAGGGTATGTTCAGAATTGGCATGGATAAGCCGTCTTCTCACTGAGATTGGTGTGCCTGACATCACTCCCGTTCCCTTAAAATGCGACAACTTGGCAGCAATTTACATTGCCAAAAACCCTGTTTTCCACGAGAGAACAAAACACATCGAATTGGACTGTCATTTTGTGCGAGAAAAACTACAAGCAGACTTAATCTCTTTAACTCATGTCTCCACTACTAATCAACACGCAGATGTGTTCACGAAAGCTTTATCCGGAACAAATCACAAGAATGCTATCAACAATCTGGGGCTACTTTCCTACCCTCCAGCTTGAGGGGGGGGGGGTGTTAGATTAATATTTTCATATTAAATGTAAATTGTAAATGTCTTGATAGTATAGGGGTAGTTTATGTTATTTTGGTAGTTTTATTTTGAATTCGGGTTATATCCCATTTGTATGTTTTTCTGATCGATTGATCAGTTTTTTGAATGAGAATAACTTTCTCTCAAGTTCTTCTTTCTTCTTTCATTCAAATCTAACATACCCATCAAAGAGTACATCTATGTAGAAGAAGTTACATAAGGGTTAACACCTCCAATGACCGAAGTAGATGATGGTGACTTTGAAGAGTTGTTGAATTCAAATTAGAAAAACTTCGATTTCATTAAACGGCTAATTTCGAGAATATAATTACTATCGCAACTATATTTATTTGTATTTTCAATTTCTAGACTTATGATCATGTATTTCTAAGCTTGTTGTTTTTATTTTATATCTTAAAACTAAATATAATAAAAATATTTATTTGGTTGGAATTAATTTTAACAAAAAATCGAGATTTTAGAGGAGTAAATGAAACCGGTTTAAAAAAAAAAAAGTTATCCTTAATCCAAGCCGTTTTTATTGGGTATCCGTTTTTACACACAAAAATCCGGTCAAAATCGGTTCGGATATAACAAAATCCGATTGCTCAAAAAACTGATGAAAACCCAAACAGATACTATTAGATTTTTGTTTTATGCGACTCCACTTAACTCGCATGCGGAAGTATTGGGCTTGGTGTGGTCTATTTCTTTTTCATGGCTTATTATATCAATTTTCTCCTTTTGTCGCAACTTCCGGCTGTGTCCCTCTCTTCGTTTTAATATATGAGCTGATCAAAAAATTAAAATTCAGAATTTCTAACTCTGGAACGAATTTACTTCGAGAAATATTCCATATAAGCAATAAATCTATTTGGAATTATTAATGGTATCCCACAGTCAAGTACAATTATTAATAAAATTGTTTGTCCTTTGTCGATAGCTTAAATGGAGTATATTTCTTGGATCTTCTCCACGGGGAAGTCATCTTTTTTTGTGGAGACCTGAGTGTGCACGTATGTGATATATTTAAGTGGAGATGTTGATTAATAAATATTTACTGCTCGATTTGCTATAAAAGAGTCATCGATTAGATGTATGCAAATAGGAAATTAGAACGTGCTTTAAAATTCGAACTTCAACTTAGTGTATATGTGTGTATGTCCAGCAACAAAATGAAACCTGGTAGTAACTCGGGTTTAGGGTTAAGGAAAGGTGCATGGACTGCCGACGAAGATATTCTTCTGAAGAACTATATTGAGAAATACGGCGAAGGGAAATGGCATATCGTTCCTCTGAAAGCAGGTAGCAAATAGATAATACGAGCTTCTTCTTCTTCCTTTTTTTTGTTATTTTTTTGTTCCTATTGTTGATACTTTCCTTGTGATGTTTGTAGGGTTAAACAGGTGCAGGAAGAGTTGTAGGCTTCGGTGGTTAAACTATTTGAGGCCAAACATAAAAAGAGGAAACTTTGGTGAAGATGAAGTTGATCTCATACTCAGACTTCATAAGCTATTAGGAAACAGGCAAGCATAATTAAAATATCAAGTGAAGTAATACTATATTTTCTTCATTAGTTCTTTTTCATTCATATTTATGATAGAGAAAAAAGTTAGACATGTTGAGATTATTTGGATTATATTAGGTGGTCATTAATTGCGAGAAGAATACCAGGGAGAACTGCTAATGATGTGAAGAATTACTGGAACACTCGTACTCGCCTTCGTTCCAAACCACAAAAGAAGGAAGTAGGTCACGATGAATCATTACAAGACAACAGGATCAAAATTATTAAGCCTCAACCACGAAGTTTCTCCAAAACCCTAAACCAAAACAAGTTAAATATGTGCCCCGGGTTAATCTCACCATCGAATGTACTTGATCATGAAACCATTAATGAGTGTTTAGTCGGTTTATTCGATGACCATGAAAAGGAAATTGATGGAAAATTTGGTTGGTATTCATTTGATAGTTCTTCGGCAGACAAAAAGGCTTTAAATGGTGTCGAACATGAAGTTGATAACAATAGTTTATTCGATTTCCCGTTGGATGAGCTTACCTGGGACTTTACAAATTCGGATAAATTATGATTTTGAAGCATCTTTTTGCTCATATCTATGTAATAAACGGAATAAATAAAGTAAGGATGGTTGCTAGCTAGCAAATGTAACATTGAATAATCTTCTTTATAGCATAGGCTTAGACTATATTTAACTGAGTAGCTGTAAAAACGAACTATTAGACTATAAATTAGCCGATAAAAATGAAATTTGTTAAAATCTATCTGATAAATAACTGAAACATAAGAAATGAAATAAAAAGACATGTTGATTGAGTTTTCTATAGTTAATAAATTGTATTTTGGAGAATTTTAGAAAAGGTCACTAACATCTTGATACGTTACTCTGTATAATTTTTTTTTAAACAGTTATCTTATTAGAAATTTTATTGTTTTGTCAACCGTTAAAACTTAAAAAAATCGAAAAATATGTTAGTTGTGATGTGATAAATATAACCTTATGCAACAACACTTTTAAATCTTCGTATCAGAATCTTTTCAAATCGTGTCAATTGTGAGACATATTGGTAAAGTTTAAAACAAACAAAACATATGCAAAAAACTAAACTTTTGGTTTTAGGTCATTTAAGTGAGATATTATCTTGCTAGTCTTTCAAGTTTCAAATCTGTAACATAAGCTTTTACAATTAATTTACATCAATGTAATATCAATATTTTTTACAAAGTGGGGCCGAAGTAAATCAACTACTTATATTTTCTAACAATTTCATTATTATTTATAACTAATATTTATAATATAATATATACTATAATATTACACGTAAAACTCATGTTAAAATATTTCATGTATAAATATACAAAATACAGTAAAAAATTTATTTTATTTATTTATTTTTTGAAACAGTTAATATAATTTACTCCTAACCTAAAACATAAATCCACATGCCCACGACCGGACTTGAACCATCGACTCTAAAGAGAGAAGGTAACACATGATACCGTTGGGTCGAAATCCTTTGGTATTATTTATTTATTTATTTAGATAAACCAAAAGGACGAAAATAATAGTTAATTTTTATCTTTTGAGATTTTCTATTTATTTTGCATTATATAATTTTTTATATCTCTAAAATAAGTAGGTAAGATTTAGTCTCCATGCCTTAGAAAAAACTCATGGTCTCAAATTAGCATATATATATATATATATATATATATATATATATATATATATATATATATATATATATATATATATATAACGATCGAGTTTCAGGTACTCTTCAATATCTGAATTTAGTCTTCAAAAGTTGCATTTTTGGTCCCTATTACGCTGGGCGTAACATGGAGTATGGTGGGCGTACTCCCTTAAGTTGGACACGGAGGTTGGTGGTGTACGGTGGGCGTACCCATATGTATGTCGAGCATACGTAAGCAGACCACAAACCCTAATTTTTAGGGTTTGACCCCTATTTAAGTGTTATTATGAACCTTATGCTTCCCCCTCATCACCCTCCTTCCCTCTAAAGACTCCCCACAAAACCCTAGCCTTTCCTTGTGTGTTTTTGAGCCTTGGTAGTAAACTTTTCGTGTTTTGTGCATTATGAAGAAGTAGAAGCTTGGTGAACAAGCATTGGTTGGAGTGGAGCCTGAAGATCCAGAATCTTCATCATCTTGGCAAATCTCAGAAGGTATAAAGTTTCAACCTTGTTGATTCATCTCTTAGACCTAGCTAGTTTAGAGTTCTTGGTATATTTTGGTCCCTTGAGTTGTTTCTTGTGAGTATGAGCTACTCCAAAAGCTTAGAATGGTAGATCTTAGTGTTTCTGAGGTCCCTTGTGCATAAAAATGGTAGCTTTATGGGTTTAACTCAACCATGTAAGGGTTGATGTTCATTTCATGAGGTTAGGGTGTTAAAATTTAGGTTTTGGGGTTTATTAAGTCATGCATAAACTTAAAGTTTCCGACTTTATGGATTAAGACATTGTTTTGGAGTAGATCTTAAGTTTGGACGAAAGAGTCTTAAGGGATTAAGTCATCCATATGAGGATTGGTTCACAGACTAGTACGTCGGGCATACTTCTATGTACGTTACACGTACTGGGTTCGAACCCCGTATTCTTGTCGGTGTGAGTATGCAAGGCATACGATTTGGGTACGCTCAGCGTACTCCCAACTGTGGATTTAGAGGGTTTTTGGCCATTTTAGGTTTCGGGTGCTTTTAGGTTTGGGTCACAGTTATTTGGGCCGATTAAGGGGAAGGGGTAAAATGACCTTTTACCCTAGGAGTCGGGTTTAATGACTTATATTCCTAGTTATACCTTATGTCCTAATTATTAATTAGGGTATTATTTGATTGCTTAGTGCGGGGATTCTCCGGTTCAGCAGCCCGGGCATCTATTTGTTTATCAGCGGATCGAGGTGAGTTTGCTTACTATACTGTAGGATACTAGGGTTGTATGTGCTTGTTGTCTTTGTGACTCTTGTTGTATGCTTGTATGCTTGTTTGCTATATGTATGTGGGGTGAAATAGACTCGGGGGTGAAATAGACCCGTACTATTGAAAAATACCGATTGAGTTAAAATAGACTCAGGGGTGAAATAGACTCGGGGAGTGAAATAGATTTGGTACAGTCTTGCGCTGACATGTGAGTTAAAATAGACTCGTTGGAGAAATAGACTCGGGGGTGAAATAGACCCGGTACAGCCTTGAGCTGACGTATATGTATGGTATGCGGTATAATTAGGGACTCATTAAGCTTTGTGCTTACGGTTTTCAGTTTATGTTTAAGGTACTTCCGGTCCGAAGGGAAAGAGCTTGGGATGATCGCATCGTACACACCATGACTTTCCGCCTTATTTGATCCTGATGTATTTTTGGATGATTGTTGACATACTCTGATTTCCCTTATGACTTTTATAAACATGTTTGGTTAATGGTGTTATTAACCCACAAAAAAATTGTCATAAATTTTTGCTACGTTACAAGTTGGTATCAGAGCCTTGGTTTGAGGGATTCGGGCATACTCTCGAGCATGTTTGAACTCAAACTGAGGGTTTGGTAGATCTTTTTATAAAAAAAAAATTTATTAAATGATTTTCTAATAAAAGAAAGGGGTGTGGTGCATGCAATCGACCGAGATCAAGTAAGTTTTTCCAAAATACCCATACATGTTCTATGTGATATGTTGTGAATTGAGAATTTATGAATCACATGCTAGATTAGGACTAAGGATCTGCTCATGATTGCATGATATAATGCTAGGAAAGATGCCTTTATATGCCTACTGTATGAACTTGTAGACTTTCGTGCTAGTATTGGATTAGTTATTTGATAGGATGACCTAGTTAGGTTATGCTTTGATTTGGATTAATCAATGCTCGAATGCTGCTTGCTTTGTGATTTTAAGAGTTCTGACTAATATCAGCTAACTGGTAAGCGAATGCGTTAAGTTACATATTACTAGGATTAGATAATTTTAGAAGGTTAGGTTTAAACCTATTGCGCAGCTCTCGTTTGAGTCCAACCATTGTAGTGTGATACCTTTCAGTCAAAGAATTATCTGGTGTCAGTGATATGTATTTGTGTTCGTAAGGTAGTTATATGGTGTTGGAGGGAGTTCCTTCTGCAGCTGATGGCGGAGAGTGGTGTGATGGTAGTCCTAGCAGAACCTAGGAGGTGTTTTGGTATAGTGACCCTTGCTTTGCTAGAGATCGTCTAGATTGATAGGGAAGTAACTTGGAGGATTCGGGGAGATCTTTAAGGAAAGTACAAATAAATATGGAAGGTCGTATTGGGCTCGTACTATTGGAAGCAGAGGATTCATAATCGAGTCAAGGAAACTCATGATGATACTAGGGAGCTTGTAGAATGTGGGATTCTTTGAGTGTGTTCAGATGATTTGTATGATTTATTTTCAGCATGGTGATCACTCGAGGAGGTTCTGGTGGTGGTATGGGTGCCAGTGATGCTTCTGGTGCCAAAACTAGTTTGGGTTCTGGCTCTAGGGCCAGACACATGGATGATCAGATGCGAGAGTTTATTTCGTCATACATTACCTACACTATTCTTGAGCAGACTACTGTGATCTTCGGTACGATCAAGGAGGGTATCATGGAGGTTCTGGATGAGCGCTTGAGCACTTTTCGTTATGAGATTATGGTGATAGTGGGAGCTCTCTCTTTGACTTTTATAGAGTTTCGGGCATGTGGGGCCCCAGAGTTCTTCGGGAAGAAGTACCCCATAGCGAGAAGGTGTTGGTTAGAAGATATCACGAACACCTTCCATACTAGCTTCTGCCCAGAGGGGTCGAATGTCAAATTTGCATCCTGTCTTCTGAAAAGCAGAGCTCATGACTCGTGGGAGGAGGTTGACCATGCCCTGGGAGGCAAGGTTTTTGATTCGATGACATATGAGGATTTTGTGACGAGGTTTCGAGCTGGGTTCGAACATGTAATTGAGGTCGAGCAGCTGGCGAGGGAGTTTCAGGACCTTCGTCGGACTACTGAGACGGTGGCGGAGATCACCGCCATGTTTCACAAGAGGGCTTTGTTGGCACTGCAATATGTGGCGGATGAGGATATAAGAAAGTGAGATATCATGACATGTTGAGGAGCGATATCGGACAGTTAGTGAGCATATCCAGTTGCAGGAGACTAGATGACATGGTGGCGAGAGCCAGAGAGAGGGAGATTGATCTGGAGATGGAGAAGAAGAGGAATTCGGATCAAGTTCATGGTTCAGAGAGTTCAGGCAAGTGGCCCAAGGTTTTTGATTTGAGATCGAAGGGCCAAGAGGGTCGGGGCCGCTGTGACAAGTACAACAAGACGCACGATGGAGCTTGCATGGTGGGTGGTTCGGGCTGCTATAAGTGCGACATGACTGGGCTCTTTAGCAGGTATTTCACTGCCACCACCCATGGATCAAGTCTGATTTTCTTTCATTACAATCAGAGGGGCCCTAAAAAGACCGATTGCCCTAGTCTAGCAGCGACGGGACCAGTTGCAGCACCCGCTCCGACGACTTTAAGGATTACAAATGGCCGCCAGGGCAAGGCGGAGGCGTCTATTGTG